TCCAGCTGGGGTGGAAACACTTTCTTCTTCTAGTGTCCAAAACTTGAGCGGGGGTGGTGGCTCTAGAGAGCATTCCGTGGCAAAGGGCTAGGTCATAGTGTGAAACAGTTTTGCGGTTTCACCACAGCCCTCTCTTCACTGGAAAGCATGTACCCTGGCAGGGAGTCAGAGTCTTCATGGATTCTGGTGCAGTCTCATGCACGTCTAGAGCAGTCTCAGGCATGTCTCATGAACTTCACATTGCTTCCACCCACGCTGCCAGAATCATTCTCTACTAACATTCATTTTCTCTCAGGGACCCAGTTGTCTCTCTCTGCAATCCGGTTTCCATGCCTATCTCACATCCCCACAGACATAGCTGTAAATGTACATTTGAACTCCAGTTTTGGACAGGGGTTAGTTTCCCTCCCATAGGTTTCAGGCCCTCAGCAAAATCAGGGAGTAATACCAAATGTCTGTTCAGTGAATCAGGATGCATTTAGCTGCAAATGACAAGATCCTTGGTTTAGAAACTGATTTAATAAGGGAATTTATGTCATATAATTATAAGTCCACAAGCAGGACATTCTCCAGGCATAAAACAAATGAGCAAGTTAATGACCTTATCAAGCGTCTGGTTCTTTCTCTCACTAGACCATCCCTAAGACTCATTTCATTCTAATATTGATCTCTGTGTGGTTGCAAAGTGGTTCCAGAGATGGCCAGAGCTGCCGCCTGTTCTTATTCAGATCAAGAAAGAGAAATCTGAATGAAGTTTGGTTCCTGCGGCCATAAATTATTGCCAATTCCAGTCACGTGCCAGCCTGAATCTGAGTACATGGACCATAGCAATTTTAAATATGGAGGCCAAGGTAGACCTTAGCCACATGGGAAGAGCATACCACGCAAGGGAATAGCAAGTACAAAGGCTCTAATGAGGGATTCTGCCTGCTGTGTTCAAGGACCAGCAAGAAGTCAGTGTGGCTATGCAGAATGAACAAGGAATCATGATCAGAGGGTAACAGAGTGGAGGGGGAGTGGGAGAGAGAATGCAGCACGTATGAAGAATCAGATTTTTCTTCTGACTGAAATTAGAAGCCATTCTTGGTTTCTGAACAGAGGAGAGGCATAATCAGATTTGATTTAAAAAGATCAATCTGGCTGCAGTGTTGAGAAAAGCCTGTAGGAAGCAATAGTGAAAGCTACTTTTAGTTAAGAGACAACTACAGTGATCTGGACAAGACACAGTGATGACTCAAACCAGGATGGCGGCTGTGGAGGTGGAGAAAAGTGTCAGGTTCTAAATATATTCCGAATAGAGTCAGCAGGATTTGCTGGTGGATTGAACATGGGCTGTGAAGAAAAGGAGGAGCCAAGGATGACTCTATAGTTTTGGGTTCAAGCTACTGGAAGGATTCAGTAACCTAGATAAGGAAGAATGTCGAAGGGCAGGTTCAGGAGGCATGATCAAGCGTTCAGTTTTGGACATGAGTCTGAAGTTCAAGAGAGAGGTCTAGGCTAAACATGTACACTTGGCAGTGCTGGGTAGATAGTTGGTATTTAAAGCCTCGAAACCACCTGAGATCACCAAGGGAGTGGGTGTCAATGGAGAGGACTATGGACTGAGCCCTGTGGCACCCTGACATTGAGTTAAGGGAGAAGTGGAGGAACAGCAAGGGAAGCTGAAGTGTGACCAATGAAGTCAGGGAAAATGTAAGAGAATGTGGAAGATAGATGAAGAAAGTGTACAAGGAGGGGGTGATCAACCGTGTCAAAAACTAGTAGTCGGTCAAGTAAGATGGGGACTGAAACTTGACTATTATCTTCAGCAGTGATATGGACATAGGTGACCCTGAAGAGAGCAGTTTTAATGGAGTAAGGTGGGACAGATGGCCCTAGTTACAGTGGATTTAAGAGAAAATAAAAGGAGAAAAATTAGAGATGAAATAGTCAACTCTTTACTACAAAAAGGAGCAAGGTAATGGGATGATTGTGGCATCAAAGGGGACAGTGGGGGCTTCCCTGGTGGCGCAGTGGTTGAGAGTCCGCCTGCCGATGCAGGGGACATGGGTTCGTGCCCCGGTCTGGGAGGATCCCACATGCCGCGAAGCGGCTGGGCCCGTGAGCCATGGCCACTGAGCCTGCGCGTCCCGAGCCTGTGCTCCGCGACGGGAGAGGCCACGACGGTGAGAGGCCCGCGTACCGCAAAAAAAAAAAAGGGGGGGGGGACAATGGCATCAAAAAAGTTTTTTGGTTTGTTTTAAGATGGAAGAAATAACTTCATATTTGTATGCTGATAGAACTGATCCAGTAAACAGTGAGAAATTGTTGATTTTGCAGAGTGTGCAAACAGCTGCCCTTAATGTCTTTGAGTAGGGGACAGGAGATGGGATCTAGTGCCCAAGTGAAGAGATTAGACTTAGGAGCCTAGATAATTGATCCATGGAAAAGGTGGTGGGAGGGGGAGTGTATATTAGTGCAAATGCAGGTAGGTACCGTCGATATGGTAATGAGATTCTGTGGAAGTTTTCTCCTGGTGCATCAGTACTCTCAAGATCATCAGCTGAGCATGAGGATGGGGGAGAATGTGATGGGTCTGAGGAGGAAAGAGACACCATATACTACTTGTCAAGGAGATCAGCAGAGTAAATGGACTAAAGGCACAAGTGTGACTGCCTGGCAGCATAAAGGACCCACTTAAGAGCCATGACTTTGATTTTAAACTGAGTCCAATTAACAGGGTTTTTATTCCCCCTCCCACTTCCAGCTACATTCAGGTGTATGGGTGGAGCTCAAAATTGGAAAACTAGATTTCATCAGTATGGTAGACTTGCCAAGGGAGTTCACCAAAGTGAGAGGGGAGCAAGAGAATGGACAGCATGTGCAAGGGAGGGATTATAATAATTGAGTGTGGACTTTATGGATAAAGAGAAAAGTGACAACATCAAGAGGTTGGGGCCAGAGAGGAGGTGGCAAGATTTCGGACTTGGTATCCAGACGGGGGTAGGTGTTGTTGGGGTCAGAGTACTAGAGGATAGGGGATGTACTATTAATGAATCTTGAGCAGGCTAATGAAATAGAATTTACGGACGGGGTGCAGTTATTGATAACGAGAAGTTCTAGGGGATGAGTAAGTGGCTGAAATAGTAGGCAGGAGAAAAATCACTGGAGAAGACATATCAAGGAACTGAGAGTCCAGGGTATGAGAAAGATCATCATCTATTCTACATATATTCTAAATCACCAAGGATTAAGAAGAAATTAGCACGGGAAAGAATTACAGTAAGCAGGAGCTACACAGTCTAAAAATGAGGAGGAGAAATTGAGGTGAGGGAGAGCAGTGGATGATGGCAACAGTGAAGAGTAGTGAGTGATACAACCTGATGATATAAAGTTCAAAAGTCAAAGACAGTTTTAGGGAACAGGGAAGAAGCATGGTCTGATACTGTCAACATTGAAAATGCAAGAAATTTCACATCATCTATACATAGATTTCACATAGTCTGGCTTTCACATAAAATTCTTCCTTCTCTGTAAATCAGATATGGCAAAGCGATCCGTGCTGACTGCTTCACTCAGCAACAGTGATTTCCTGGCTCCCTGGCGTATTTGAGTTTGGCTCCCCTGTTCCAGCAATTCAAGAGCTACTAGGTTAGCCTCTGTTACTTAGCTAATTCAGGTAGTCCCTTTGAGGGGTATAGGGCTTCTAAAGCGTGTACAGATTGGCTGTAAAATTTTAGCCATTTGAACAAAGCCATTTGAACGTTGAAAACAGGGATACAGAAACTCTTGCCCAAACGATGTTGGTTTTACCAATTTTCAAGTACATTTTGTGGAATATTTTACCTGGAAATTCAGGTAGCTACGAAATGACGGTGCGTCGTTACTGTTGATCCCTAGAGGGCGTCATTCCCCAAAAGTACAAATCTGAAAGGTTGCAAACAGGTGTTGATATTTTTCAGCGGATAGCCATCGTCCACTCTTCAGTCCTTCAGGCTGGGATTTTTCTCACCACTTTCGAAGCATCCCCTCCTTTTTGGCAGTGGCATTCGTATCATGCCTGCCGTGGGATATTACAGCATAAACAGTAGAAGATTTCAAAACAATAGCCAATTTTACTTAAACTCCCTGTTGAAAGCAAGAGGAAGATTCTGTGAAGCACTTTGAGGAAGGAAAAAGTGGTCGAAAAATGCTTCATCAGGACAGCCCATGGACAAGAGAAGGTAGTAAAACCAAATAGCAGTTTGGACAAAGGACAGCCTCGAGAAGAAAACGACCACACTCTTATTTCACTTCGTTCTCTCTTATGTTTTTCTGTTCTTGGTATCTAGGTTCATCTTTTTCCAATTATTATTTCAGACATACACATTTACCTGTTTAACTTCGGTAAAAGTTGGGAGGAAAACGTGCCAAACGTTTAGAGTGGCTGTCTTCAGCTGGAGGGGGGGCTATGAGTGATTATTTTCTTCTTTCAGTTTTTCTGGGTTTTCCAAGTGCTCCTCAAGAAACAGTACAAAACGAAATAACTTTGTAAAAAGAAGTCATGACAGGTCATCTCATATCCATCCAGGCCAGGTCGAGGGGGTGGCGGACTCTCCATCAGTTCTGAGCTTCTGGTCTTTCTCCACCTCTCACTCTTTGCTTGGTCTCATCACTCACGTTCCAAAGCCAGAGGAGCGGAAGGACTGTTTAAAACTGAAAGCCAACCTGCAGGGGGAAGCCGGGGCCGGGTGAGCCAGCGCCGGGCCGGGCCGGGCGAGCCCAGGGGCCTCTCCGGGGAGCGGCGCTGTACGTCACGTGGGGCCCGCCCAGGCGCGGCCCGGAATCCGCGCGTGCGGCCGTCTTAGCAGCCGTCGTGGAAGCAGGATTTCCGCGGTTGTGCAACGGCATCGCGCTTCTGCGGAGAGGCTGGGCTCCGCGTTCCTCCCTGGCCCGGCCCCTCCTCTCCGGCAGCCCAGCCATGGCCTGGACCGTGGCGGCGGCGGCGGGGAGCTGCGGGGCCCG